AGCTGTTATGAGTAAAGCTGTCTTTTGCAATTGACTGACAGTGATTTTGTCATTGCCAATGGCTTTCAAGTGGTATTCCAGTTGTTTTGGGATTGCACCCAAGGTGCTTATTACTATTGGTATTACCTTTGCTTTCATTTGCCAGAGTCATTCTATTTCTATTTGCAGGCCTTTGTATTGTGTTATTTTCTCCAGTTCTTTCTCTTCTATTCTGCAGTCTCCAAAAATTGCCACATCCAATATCCATTTTTTTTTTTTTGTCTTTCTTATCAACAATTATTAAGCCTGGGCTGTTATATGGCAGTTGCTTGTCTGTTTGAATTCTAAAGTCCTGGAGCACTTTAGCTTTTTCATTTTCTATTACTTTACCTATTTTATGGTTCCCATCAGTTTTTGCTTTCAGACAAATGGTATTTATTGTAGATCTTCTAATGCAGTTATTATTTATTATTATTAGATTTTTGTCTGGTGAGTATCAAAGCCACTGGCCTGGATGAAAACCAGAGCATCTGGGAGTACATGAATAAGATGGCACCAAAAGATGAGCTGCTGAGAGAATGCCTGAGGCGGCAGCAGATGTGGGAGGAAGATCAAGCAGAGGAAGTGCCATAGCAAGATAAGATAAGGTATGTATTATTGACAGACAGCTGAAGTGGCAGACACTAGCAATGGCTGGAAAGGGCTGGACTAAAGACAGCACTGAAACACTGAACATAGCAGCACAAGAACAGGCACCAAGAACCAGATCTATAGATGGAGGGGTCTACCACACTAGACAGGACTCAAGGTGCAAAATATGAGGAGAATCTGGTGAGTGCAGGTCATAATAGCACTCATATCACCCTTTTATTTCTTATTGCTTCCTGTGCATTGTTATGGGATTGCTAAGTACTCCTGTACAATGTGATCTCATTCTACCTTTCCATATACTCTATAATCATTACTGCAATACCAAGCAAATTTCAAAATCGTCTGTTTAAAAACAGTCCCCTGGAAAACGGCATTCCTCATTGATGAATATGTACACTTACTCACTACCTCCTATTTTGCAGTATTAAAGATAGTCACAGTTATTCTTCTGCCAAAGAATAAAAACAAATAAATGTATGGCATCCATTTTCACTGCTCATCTGTAGGACAACTTTAGCATCAATGTCTCTACATCAGGGATATCAAACTGGTGGCCCGCAGGCCAGATGCCTCACGTGTAGGCCACACCCACCCTGGCTCTGCAAAGGCAAAACACGTCACGATACATCACATGACGCGATCGAGTTTGGCACCCATACTCTACATTATCATAATAGTTCCCATTTTTCAGATCAGAGACTTATGTTTATAATTTTTTCCTTATTTTGAATGATATAGCTATTTAAACTTGTTTACTGTAATACCATTTCACCATTGTGCTCCTTTGGAAAAAGAAACAGGATATAAGGAATTGAATCAGACAAAATAGCTCTTGATTATTTTTTTCTCTAAAAGACAGTCACTACATTTTGAGTATATATATACTCGTATGAGATTGCAGCTAACCAAATCATTTATTTCTCCCAACAATATATAGAAATACATACTGTGGTTAAGAAAGTATGTAGACACATAAATACAGTATTTTAGGCAGGAGAAAGAATTTATTTTTTGTCTGGATTAAAGGTAAAGATGTTTTTGCTCCTGATAACTACTTTCATACAATCTTCTTGGCAGGGTTACAGATTGGTTTGCTTTTGCTTCTAATTTTTCCACTAGTTACTAGTACACTAATCCCTACTAGTGTAGTAATAATAATAGTAATATTTTTTTAAAAAGAGAATATAGAAAAGAAAACATTGCCCTAAGATGACAATCTTTTCCTTGCCAGTATTATATTTTACATTTTGAAAGATTTCTTAACATTCCATTCGTTCATTATAAAGATGTACTGTTTATTCTCAAGCTTTTTATTAATGCATAGTTTCAATAAATAAATTATATTAGGAAATAATATAATTGGTTAATTAAGTTTTCTTTAGACCTCTTTTCTTACTTTCTGGTGCTTCTGAAAAATTGAACTATTAGCAGAATTCTTCAACAAATTCAAGTCCAACAAACAGAAAGGAACAAAGGATTCATTTTTAAAGACAACTTTGACAATTCTCATTGAAATAACAGTGATAATAATGCATTTAGAAATTACTCACAAGATAAGAAAACAATGCAATATAAAAAGATCAATTGCAAATAGCTTTCACTTATTTTTATTTCACTTGATTTGTTAATTCCCAATTAACGATTTGTGTCTAAAGCAACTAGTAAACCCGACGGTTTGTATTTTCCTACAGTACATTTTATTTCAGTTTATATATTTTTTTTTTAAAAAATAACGTGTTAGAGGAGTTTTTCCAGAAACAAACTAGTCATTTTTCCTGATTGCAACATGATGCAATTTTCTGATTGCAGCATGCTGCAAGACTTATAGTACTGTAAAAACCTTTATTCCTTTTTTTTCCTTTCCAGAGAAAGCGGTATAAAGTCTGTGAAAGATAGTCATTATGTTCCAATGCCTTATTGTGGTTTATAGGTTGCCAGGGCAACACACTCGCTCCCGTTCTCTCCCTCCCCGCCACGAGATATTCACGCTGCTCTTTCAGTTGCCACTCCTTTGTTGCCACGGGCGCTGGAGCAGAAAGAGACAGGAAGTGTTATTTCTGATTGGGCATTGCCGAGACTTGCTTATTAGCATATCCGGACGGAGTCTGACTAGCAGCATGCTCGGTGATTGGCTGAACCTGGAGGTGAGGCTGTGGGGTGATCCCGGCAGGCCGGTAACTGTCGGTCATTGACGGGGCTCAATTCCGGGAGGCGGCACGGGGAGGTTTTATGCGTGTGCGTGACCTCCTTTGCCCCGAAAAGTATAGCGCGTCAACTCGGGTCTTCTCGCGGCTTCATAGTCTTTTATTTTTTTCATTCTGGATGGCGGAAGGGGAGAAAAGTTGTAGACATTTGCCTGCAGACTGTTCAGACTACTCCGCTTTGGCCTGCTCGCGGAAGTAGAACATCTGCAGCGGTGAGATTCGTGGTCACGCATCTGAGGCGTGAAAAGCGATGGAATGCCAGCGACCTACTTGCAATACGAATCTAGCAAATAGTTTCGACCTTCGAAATAGTCCTCCAAGGCTAAATTAATTAAATTGATGCGGGATATTTTTTTTAAGCGCGCTACTAAAACCTGGGTATAATATGACGAAAGAGGGAAAAATCAATCTGGATCCTTGTCTCTAGGATATTTAAACTTGAAAAATCATGCTAAATTTTTAGGCACACTTAAGTGGAGTAAAACGTCCAAACGGACATAAGGTTCATCCTCCAGTAAAAGTATATACTTAAGAGAAAATGTGCGCTCTCCTCCCATCCGATGTCTACTATTCCAAGGCGATAATGGCTTAAACTTGAATGTAATATGCCCCTCGAGAAGGGAATAATCTATACACGCGTTCTGTCATCTAGCTGGCTGCACTCGATATTTTTGATCGTAGAAAATTTGCCTAAAAGCAATTTAATATATTCTCGAAGCCTTTGCCGGGACTGAAAGTAGAATTTAAAGGTGTATATATGAAAGTATTATTTTATATCAGATTTTAGAAAAAGAGTCTGTAGTCCAGTCCCGTTAAGGCCGTATTTTGGGAGTTTGGTTTTTTGGGAGCTTTACTCTGATCCCAAATTTTTCCCCGGCGGGATAAAAACCGCCGGGAAGCCATTAGCTGCTTTGAGAAACTAGCACCAGGAAAGGGTTAGTAGGCCATCCCCCAGAAGAGTTGCATTTTATTTAAAATACTGTAATCATATGTGTCCCGCAGACATCTGCCTATTTTATTTGAAGTTGAACCCGAGGAAAGAGGAATGACCTCACGCCTAGAGCGCATTTTTTTTCACCAACTAGAAATTGTTTGTGGGGTAATTCACGGAGCTGAGTAGAATTTCAAGGCAGGTGTCTTGAGGCAGAGCGATACCCTTTGACGCTATCAGCGTTTTAAGAGCCAGGTCTGATTAGTCGGTCGCTCACTACAGGCTCAGCATTTTGTTGTTGTTGTTACCGTGTCAGAGAGGCTCTAAGACTGACTCTGACCCTAACAGAAGCTTTGGGTCTGAAGTCTGGTAAGAGATCGCTACAAATATGGTGCCCTCCTCAAGACGCCTTTGAGCAAGAAAACGGTGAAGGATTGGCGAAAGCTTTTAGTGGGGAAAGAAAGAAAATGTCCCGCCTTCCATTGTTTGCGGAACTTGTTTGCTCTATTTTAAGGTGTAACCGCCTTTAACAGTTGCCAACGTTTTTGTCCTTTTGAGTGCTTTTCGGCAACGATCACACAGCATTTGGGAGGCTGATTTCAATTACCTGTTTTATTTTATTTTATTTTTTAAATGATACTCTGGTTGCCTCGCGATGGGGGGGGGGGAGCTAGAAGAGACTTGAGTTATTGATGCTCTCACAAGCGGGGTTGTAAAAGGAGAGGAAACCCAGTCGCGTTTGTTTTACTCACTCCTCCACGGCAGCCTGAGAATCTGCAGAAGAGCAAGCTAACTCCTGCTTTGTGGGATGCTGCAAAGATTTCCTTTGGCTCACATAGTGGGGTGAGAGGCTCTATTTGATAGCTTCCCCTCCTCCAATCAACACCAGTGCGCATAGGGCCCTCCCCGGTGGATGTTGGTGAAGAGGCGGAGCTGCGTGTCGATCTTGCTAGCAGAATCCGGTATTACATGTGGTCACTTGGAAAGCAGAGAAGCCTCTTTTTTTCTCCTTCCCTTGCTTCACTGCAAGGGGGTGGCCCTTGGAAACACCTTATTTTAACATACGGGCTATAAATACTGCTCTGAGATAGGGACGGATTGAAAGACTGCGGTAGGCATCAGGACGCCCGTGGAGCCGGCTAGCCGCCATAGGTAAGGCAGCGCTTGAAGCTCGCGGTGAGCGCAGGGGCGGCGGCGCGCTTATTTTGGTCCCTCGGCTGCCTTCCATTTGCTGCTTTGAATGGAAACAGCGGCGAGGCGATTCTTTGGAGCAGAAGGCTGGGTTTTCTCGCGGTTTGCGAGTAATACATTTGGGATCGGCAGGAGAAGAGTTACTTCAGACTCCCCTCCCCCCCTCCAAGCGCGCCTTTTGCATTGAAGGAAGTTTTATTTGCACGGGAGGAGAGCAGATGCGAGCCAAGCCGGGATTCTACCGTCTGGGTGGAGCTGGCAGTCCAAAGGCGCTGTTAAAGAGACGCCCCTGTGTGGCTATATAAGCGTTTTCCATCGAAGGAGAGCGAGGTGCTTACTGCGCTGGGTCCTCGACAAGAAAAGGATTAGCGTTGAAGCAATGAGGAGTAGGAGATGAAATGGCTACAGAGGAGAAATACCCGAGTGAGGTTCTGCTGCTTGTTCCCGCGTCTAGAGAGATGGGGACAATGGTTATTTCGGTGCTTTGGTTGTGCTTATAACTGTTCTCCTTTACCCGTGTATTTACAGAAATGTGCTCAGTTTAATTCGGGAAGCGGTGGGGAGGGAATTGCACTGACGGTACATGAAGGTCGAGATGAGAAGAGGGTGGGGTTTTGGTTTTTTGTTTTAGTCCTTCAGTAGTTTATTTTATGATTTAGCAACAGAGTAATACAATTATAAATTGGAGGAGGAGCACCATGAAGAAAACTGTAAATTTTATAACAGCCAGGCACTTGATGAGGGGCAAGGGCTCAAACCAGCGAGCGGGCAGAGCGGGCAGCCAGAGCTGATGCGGCAAGGGTTTGGGGCAAGGCACGGGGCTGGTCTCAATCGCCATCTTTTGTTCTCCTTTACAGCCACTCCTTGCAGCAGAGGCTTTCTTACGCTGAGCCTGCACTGTACCTAACATTTGAGAAAGAAAGTTGGAGAAATACCACTTAATCCTTGGGAAAATATTGTAGAGAAAAGGAAAATAGTGGTGGTCTTCCTTTTTGGAAAACAAACTTAACTCTTGGCAGCAATTTTTCTCATTGATTCCATCTTAACCAGCTAGACCTTCCTTAAGATTACTTCTCTCCTGTTTCCATCACAGTCGGAGAATTTGCTTGCTCACAGTGCAGCTTACCCAACAATCAAGATGATGCAGATCTGTGACTCTTACAGCCAAAAACATTCCCTCTTCAATGCAATGAACCGCTTTATTGGAGCTGTTAACAACATGGATCAAACAGTGATGGTGCCCAGTCTTCTTCGGGATGTGCCTCTCTTGCTGGAAGAACTGGATTCAGGGGGTGGTTGTGGAGAAAGGGAGGCCCAGTTGACTCCCAATGACAGTACCTATTGTTCTTGCAGAGATATGTATAGTCACTATATGTTGCTCAAGTCCATTCGCAATGACATTGAATGGGGTGTATTGCAGCAGGCAAATGAGGAAACCACTGGAAGGAAGAAGGATAAGCTGAATGGGAGCTCTGGTGCCATGGACATAAGTCGAGGAGTCCCTGAAGATGAGGAGGCGGAGGAGGATTTAGAGAAGCAATTTCATTATCACTTGAGTGGGCTTCACACTGTGCTCTCTAAACTCACCCGCAAGGCCAATGTACTTACCAACCGCTACAAGCAGGAGATTGGAGTCAACAGCTGGGGGCACTGAATCAGGGAGGGGGAAAGCATGGCCTGCCTGCCTGCCTGTTTGGGTGAGAAGTAAAAAAACAAAAACAAAACAGAAAAGGGGAAATAGGCATTTGGAAAGGGCTAAAGAAGAATGCAAACAAGAATGGTGTGTGTGTGTGTGTGTGAGAGAGAGAGAGAGAGAGAGCGCGTTTATGGGAGATTTAAAATTGTAAAGAAGGAGTATATCAAGGTCAGTAGTAAGAGTAGGATGCAGTATAAAATTTTGTGTCTTGAAGAGAAGAATGCAAAGATAATAAAATGAAAGGGACTTTTTATTTTAGAATTTTACTGTTGACTACTATAACTTTTGGGAGGCAGGATGATAAATTTCTGCCTAAACTAGCAGGCATAACTAGGCAGCCAAGTATAAAGTTTCCAGATTTTGAAGACTCAGAATGATGTATAATGGCCCTGGCCAGTTACTGAAAGAGTTTGTTGTAATTCCTGGGAAACTGCACAAGTGCATGTGGTGGTGGCAATTGTAGAGAGGATTGTATCACTTCTTTCCTGATTTTGCACTAATTTTGTAACATAAATATATATATGTGTGTGTGTGTGTGTGTGGATGTATGTAAGAACTTATCAATTCTCTGCATGCTGTCAGAATTGTAGACATCTTATTTTTTACCAACGCACAAAAATGTATATTAACACTAGTTAAATATGTTTTTTAAATATACAAGGTGAACAGTTATTGTTCATCTTTAGATACAACACTTATCTTTCCTTACTGCATAGAACTGGTTGAGATGAAACTGCAAGTATGCTACTTAAAATATTTTTGCAGTGGATAGAACCAGTTAGCTAATGTCCACTCATATTTCAGTGGAGAGTAAAACCAATTACTTAATATACACTCATATTTCACTGGAAAGATAGGGTCCCATTATTGTACATGTGTTGAAGATTATTTAAACTTTTTTATTCAGATGTGGAATATATTCTAAAATAAGATATATTAACTAAAGTTGATGTATGTTTGTATACTATGGCTCCACTTGAATTAAATGCTAATGTTTACAATACAGCAACTCTAGATATTCTTTACAAGAGAAATTAAATTGTTTTAATCAATTTATTCAAATGGTGTAGGAGCAGTGTTCTCTGTTCACAACTCTTATTCCATGGAGCAGATGATCTTTGCATTATAATCCAAATTGTGTTGTTTAATTTATGTATATGCTGACTTTCTTTGATTAAATTCAAAGAAATGCAAATAGGGCTTCTCAGGGCATTACATTTTCAGACCTTTCGCAAAGTGGCTGTATCATGTGTCTTCCACCCAACCTCTCTTCTGTATCGGACAGCACTTCTCAGAGCTCATTTATGTCCCATGAAATCATCTGTTTATTGGTGCGGTTGGCTTTTTTTAAGGTAAACACTCAACTCCTGTTTCTTGATACTGGTAGTATGAAAGTGGCTTGTCAGTATCTTATTCTAAGATGTTTTTCAGACTACCTAATCAGTCTTACACATCTGAAATTTATTCCTTGTTTTCCATCTGCATACTAATTAGATTCAACCTTGCTTAGGTTTCTGAGCATAGGCAAAGTAGGCCAGATATTGTAATTTGTAAATAAATACCCATTTTGTAGTAGATCAAAACAAAATAAAAACTATTCACCCTCAAGATATACAAGATTGTCTGTCCATATAACAAATAGTTTTTCATACAGTATATACTCCAAACTTGGTTATTTAAAAAGGTATCCATCTTACTAATACTTACTAATACATAATCAAATTTACATTGCCAAAATTGCTGTAGACATTGTAGGTAAATGTTTTATCAGATGTAATGTAGTTTACAATCAACACCATTCTTTGAGTTTAAGATTTTGAGGACTATCCTTGAAATAATTATAATACTGAAAGAATAGCCATAGTTTTTTCTTCTATCTAGACTTACAGCCAATTCAGAGTATTTATATTAAGAAGATCCTGACTAATCCGTAATCCTCTTATACCTTCTTTATACAATAGGCTTATTGATTGGTCTTTCAAGACTACCTTTAATGGTGATGTTTTAAACCATGCAATTTTAAAATGTAGAGAGATAAAAGGACCCTTCAAGATGCAATTATATCTTTTATTTTGTTTAAAATGTGGTACTATTGCCTATGCACTACCCTGGATTACATTATAGTTCAATAGCAGCGAAAAGATGAAGGATAAAATTTATCTAAAACTAAGCAAGAAGTTTTCCTATCTTTGGGGAAGAGATTTTTTAAAGACTATTTCTAGATTACTTTAAAAATAAAATGGCATACAATGAAATTTAGATTTCCTGTAAATATATATTTAAAAAATAAATAGAACGTGCCACCAAGCCCATTAGACTTACAGGATGCTTTTCCACATAACCGAAACAAGGCATGCATTCTTTTTGTTATTTTTGACACTATTGTATCCAAGAGCAAGCAGATTAGAGTCTTCAGGATTCTAATATATATGTCACTAGCAATACAATACTATTGTCCTGTTTATGGATCATGTGGAATAAAACAGTTGTGTCATCAGCCCAAATCCTTAAATGTCTTACACAGAGCTTTCTTATGCAATCTATCTATTTGGGATAATTTCTTTTCATAGTCCACAAAAGAACCCCAAGCAAACGTATACACATTACATATATGCAACAAAATTTATAAAATATGTAACTTACAGATTTTTTAAGTAGAAGGACCACAACTCGTGACTTGTGATGGCTTTACATGAAATATATCCTTGAACCTGCAATTTTGTCACTTCAATTTCCAGCAGTAAGTTCTGTTCAACTCAGTGGCATTACTTTACTTTTAAGTTGGCACGATCATGCTACAAGTCTTTTCTTGACCCCCAAAATACTCAGCATTATTCCATTTTTTAAAATTAAATGGGAGGTATAAGGGACAGATTTAATATATTGTGGAAATTAAACTTTAAATAATTAAGAGGAATTCATATCTACCCTTGTATTTCAAGTTAGAAATGTCAAGAATAGTTTGGTTATAATGGTATATCACTTGGACTTGGGCAAGTATTTTTTCATATTTGTACTAAGACCTAGTTTCAGTAACTGGCATCCTTGAAAAATTGCCCTGATAGGATAGTAAAACTTCAAAACCACTGCCAAAGTGTAATCCATTTTAATTTTTTCTATCATATCCTGGCCATTATGTAAGAATTTTAAGTTGTCATTATTTCATGATGTATTGCATTGGACAAAACTCCATTAAATATTCCAAGGTACTTTATTGTGAGAAATGTAAAATGGTAGTTCATAACCATCCCTTACTCAAGATAAGTTGTTCCTATAGAAGAAGCTCTAACATAGAAGTATATGTAGGAATGTGCTTCATTCCTTATGTGTGTAGTACACCATAGGAACGTAGGAACCTCCTTATGACAAAATCTTGTCTATTTTCATAGTTTATGGCCTTTAAAATTTTATAAATTGGATATGCCACTAATCACTCTGAAAAATATGTATGAAAAGCACGTGATATATCACTGTGCTATGGTCTCTGTCTCAAAGTACCCTCCTTGAAAAATATTAAAAGATGTATGGGCTGAGATAACGTCACAATTTCAGTTCCGGATCTTGGAATTATTTTTTTTAACCATTTCAAAACTAACAACCAATCCCTATTCACTATCATTAGGGTAATCCTGCATATATTTGTGCTATTAATCTGTGAATCTGGCATGTATAGAAGGCCTCCTGAATGTTCTCTGATTTGATTGAAGAGTCTCACCTATTTCTGCTGCTAAGTTACTTTCATTTGTAACACATTTCAACCTATTTCCCTGGCTACTAATCTGATAATAACAATGCTGTTATCCAAATAAACTGTTTCCCTGTCATCTGCAGTGTCCTTATCTTGTTACTTGTCTTGGAATCTTTGCAGAAACTTCAAAAGTTCAACCACTGGAAAGTTCAAGGCACAATTGCTATGAGTGGAAAGGAATGTTTTTTCTAAATTTAAGTTGTCCAAATTATCTAGGTCAGTGGTTCTCAACCTTTTTAATGCCGCGACCCCCAACCGGTTGTAAGTCGAGGACTGCTCAACCGGTTGTAAGTCGAGGACTACTCAACTGGTGCAGCACCGTTTGCAGAATGGGACTTTTGGCGGGCTCAGCAGGGCAGAGACAGCCTGGACAATTCCTATTGGCTTTTGAAAGCCAATAGAATTAGACTCTATTCAAGAGAGTCTATTCTATTGGCTTTCAAAAGCCAATAGAATAAAAGGGAGTAGCACAGCTAAGGAAAAGGGGAGGAAAAATGGCGGACTGCGTTGTTTGGCGACCCCCGTGAAATGGTCGTTCGACCCCAAATGGGGTTCCGACCCACAGGTTGAGAACCACTGATCTAGGTGGTTCCATCATAAGAATAGGTGTACAAATAATTCATTTAATAAAATACAGCACGTGGTCAAACAAAGGAGAGTTGTATATGATATATATGACATTTTATTAAAAGAAAACATCTTAAGCAAATTCCTTTCCATGTAACCTGGGGGATATTGGATACTAGCCAAACTTCACCTCTGTTTCTAAACATAGTAAAATGTTTAAAAGTGGGATTTGCAGTGCAATATCTTGGCCTTTGGGCACTTTCACATATTATTTCACTGAAACCATCATGAAAGGGCCTTTGATTAAAGAAAGAATTAATTAAACTTGCTTTTGTTAAATGATTAAAAAAAAGTTCTTTTTAAATTAAGAACCAGTCAGGGCAAGATAACTTAAGTCCATCTAAATGAGTAAGGAAAAAGAACCTAAGAGAAAACTTTATCCTGTGATCTGATCCTTTTAATATGTGGTAGACAATTTCTTCCAATCAGGATTGATTAAATTGTAACAATTTAAAGTCAAATATAGAGCTATAAATAAGAATCAGTTAACCTATAGTGTGAGGAACTGGACATATGATGGGAGGAACGGGAGTGAACAGGGCACTATGGGATATTTGCTATTTAATAAAATTCCCCATGGCAGCCAGAACCATGCATACATACAGTATGGGATCTGCTAGGGCAGTGGTTCCCAACCTTTTTAATGCCGTGACCCCCAATCGGTTGTAAGTCGAGTACTAAACTGGTCGTAAGTCGAGGACTACCCAACCAGTCGTAAGTTGAGGACTTTCTCTGCCTGGGAGCGCCGCGCATGCGTGGTGCCGCCCCCTGCGCCGGCTGAGGCGTAGCTGGCAAGCGGCAGGGACGGAGCAGGCTGACCAATGGCTGGGCCACCAGCTGGCCCAGCCCAAGGGAGGTAAGGCACCTGCCGGAAAAGGGGAAAAAATGGTGGACAGCCTTGCTTGGCGACCCCCGTTAAATGGTCAATCGACCCCAAATGGGGTCGCGACCCATAGGTTGAGAACCGCTGTGCTAGGGACATGAAAAAAATTACCAAGATACTTGGGTGCTGTAAACCAGGAATGTTTGGGAACATCTAGTCATTTCTGGCACCAGATACATTTTCTATATTTCTAGAGAATTGTAGTAATCTCATGATACCTAAATTATTAGATAGATTTCAATTTAGCTGAATAATTACAAGTACTGTAAATGCCGGCTTATAAGACGACTTCCGCGAGCGCTGAAATCGGCGCCAAAGACGGGAGTCGTCTTATACGCCGGAAATACTGGTAGTTTCCGGCGTATAAGACGACGTTCTAGGAATGCGGCCCGGCTATAAAGACGGGGGTCATCTTATACGCCGGGTCGCCTAATACGGCGGCATATACGGTAGATAGCTTGGAGGGTAGAGTCAAATGGGGGGGGGGTGTCATGAGGTTCTGTCATGAACTCTGTAATGTTCAATAATCTTGTTAATGGCCTGGATGAAGGGGTAGAGCAGTGTTTCCCAAACTTGACAATTTTAAGGCATGTGGACTTCAACTCCCAGAATTCCACAGCCAGCATTGCTGGCTGTGGAATTCTGGGAGTTGAAGTCCTCATGCCTTAAAATTGTCAAGTTTGGGAAACACTGGGATAGAGAAAATGACTGAATTTTTAGTCATCTAGCACTTTAGAAGAAAAAGAGAAAGTTGAAGTTTTGAATAGTGGGCCAAAATGAACAGTATGGTATTTAACAGGATTATGCAGAAAGGATTTGGATGATTATCTGATCACAAGTTGTTGCACGTGACACAAGTTGAATGTGAGTCAACCATATAATGCACCTCCTAAAAAAATGAATCTGTTTTGAGATGCATCAATGAACATATTGTTCACATCATAGAAAATACAGTAAGTTGCTTTTACCTCAATCAAGCCCAATGGTGTCAGCAGGCTGTAGTAAAAAAAGTAGATGCAATAGTGTAATCCAAGTTCTGCTTGTTTTTTATGTGTCATTTGTGCATTACATTAAAAAAAACAAGCAAAACTTTGATTGCACCATGACTGCCATTTTGACTTTTTTTCCCATGCCCTATGAATATGCCTGATTAGAGCCCTACTGGAATATTGTGTTTTTGCATCAGTCTAAAAAGGACATTGAGAAACTGAAGGAAGTTCAATCAATGGCTACCAAAATGGTGAGGGAACTGGGAACCCAAGAACTATGAGAAACAATTAAAAGGACCTGGATATATTTAGCTTGCAGAAAAGACTGGGGGAAGATATAACAGTTTTCAGCTGTATAAAGGATTGTCATACAGATGAGGATGTTGACTTGTTCTTTGTTGAGTCAAGAGGGCTGAAACAGAACCAATGGTTGAACTACAGAGAAGTAGATTCAGGTTTAGCATTGAGAAAATTTCTTTGATGTAAAAGCTGTTAAACAGCAAAATAGATTGCCTCATGAGGTGGCATTGTTCCTACAATCATTCCTCTTCTTGTAGTCACATGACCCTACTTTGGGCCCTCAGCAAGACGGCTGCATTTACAGCTGTTTGCAGTGTCCTGTGATCATGTGCCCCTGTTTTATGATGGTTTTGCCTAAAACTGGCACTTTTAGTTTTTGGCAAAACTCCACCATAATGAACAATGAGTTGTTGAATGACCATGGCATTCACACATACAATTATGCATTCGATTAACAACTGCTGCAAGTCATACAATTGGGTTAGTCATGTTTTACCATTTGTATAAACATTACAACTTATGACTAAAGGGCACCTACATTACTGTTGTAACTTGAGGACTACTATAAATAAATTTGATTAATAAAAATTAAATTTTTAATAAAAAATAAATTAACTCAACTTGCTGACATATCATTTCTGTTTATTATACAATGAGGGAAAAGATTATTTGATCCCCTACTGATTTTGTATGTTTTCCCACTGACAAAGAAATGATCAGTCTATAATTTTAATGATAGGTTTATTTTAACAGTGAGAGACAAAATAACAACAAAAAAATCCAGAAAAACACATTTCAAAAAAGTTATAAATTGATTTGCTGTCACCTACGTTCGTTGTCGTCCAATGAAATGTCCGGCTTGCTTGGTGTCATGACATTGTCGGAGGACTGTTTGTCGCATGACCTCTGGGACATACAATTTGTCTCCTTTCCACGCCACCCCCTCTCCATGTCAACAGCCATGCATCACCTAGCACTGCTGCCTGTAACTCCGGGAGCACTCCACCCGCCACTTTGCGTAGGACCGCTTGAGCTACTTCTTGTCGATATGGAGTCCTCCCACTTACTGTGGTACTGAGACATGCACTACAGCGCATCGGCGAGAAAGTTCTTGCCCCCGGTACATACTTTAAAGTGAATCAAAAGCAGGCAAAGTACTGGGCCACCGGACATGTTTGGGCAACAGGCATCATGGTGTTTGTAGCGCCTCGAGGATTTTATGGTATGTCCACACCTCAAACGGTTTTGTAGCCCCTTCCAGCAAATGCCTCCATGTTGCAAGTGCCCACCATATCACAAACACCTCTTTTTCCCAAATAGCCCATGCCCGTTCAGTAGCTGTGAACTTACGGGACATGTAGGCACACGGTTTTAACGTCCCCTGACTGTTCCATTGGAGTAGCACCGCTCCGACGTCAACGTCACTGGCGTCGGCCTGCACCACAAACGGAGTGTCAGGATCTGGGTGGAGCAAAACCGGGTCTTTAACAAAAAGGGCTTTCAGGTCCTCAAATGCCTTTTGACAGGCCATGGTCCACCATAATGGTTGGCCAGGACGTGGCTTGCTTGTCATGTGCTTTGTCCGCAGCAACTCCGTCAAGGGATGGGCAATGGTGGCGAAGGAGGGAATGAACTGTCTATAGAAATCGGCGAACCCCAGGAAGCTTTGCAGCTGGTGACATGTCCTGGGGGCCTGCCAGTCTAACACCGCTTTCACCTTGTGGGGGTCCATCTCTATACCATCACCTGAGATCCTGTATCCTGTGTCTAAACAGTCCCGGTGAAACTCACATTTGGAAAGCTTCACGTACAGATGGGCATCAAGTAGTTTCCGTAGCACCTGCCAAACTAGATGGACGTGCTCCTCTAGGATGGTGGTGTAGATTAGAACATTGTCCAAGTAGACGAGAACCCCGTGGTAGAGATGTTCATGCAATACCTGGTTAATCAATTGGTTTATTTAATCAAGATTTGAATAGATATGTCGTTCTCAATGGACTTTTGCTGATCAGGACTGAGTAATGGATAAAATTATAGAATGTGTTTTTGAGCTGAATAAAAAGCCACACCTTATTAAAGAAAGAAACGGATTCAGATTAAATATTCAACAACAGATGCACATTCAATAGCACCTTTGAGAATGTTCAAGCTCTGAACCTACATAATTACTCCATCATTTACAACAGCCTTATAAGGTACCTCAGTAGTGCTATGTAGACTGATAGAAAATAACTTGCCTAAAGTCATCTCTGAAGTCATGGCAGAGGCAGACTTGGA